AGTTCCGTTGTGCGTGACATTAGAATTTTGTGCAAAAATATTTTGGTAAAAAAATGCCGAAACATAAAAAAAACGCAGCTAGGAGCTTCTGGGATACAAGAAGTAAACCAATGCACCGGCACGCCCTTTTCCCGCCCATCATGAGCCAAACGCCATTTGTCTCTCTACATAATTTTCCTACTCTTTGACCTTCTTTCAAAATATTTCCTCGAGCTTCAATATTTCATTGCATCAGAAACAAATACTGGACTGAGTTTAGCTACAAGGTGAGAGTGAAATTTGAGGACAAAGAATGAATTAAAAGAGCCATAACTAACACATGAAGACCGGTTAATTAGCTAGTACAGCGACACACTACGACGGCATTTTTCTGTCAGTTGTTTGTGGGGCATGCACCCATTTCAGTAACTTTCCAAACTGGCGAAATAAAGCGATCAAGTTCAGTTTATCATTTAATTTTGCGTAGCAAAATTCTTTTCTGCCTAGTTTCATTAATGAGATGCCTAAGTATAAAGTGGGAGCTACACAGAATTGACTGGAAATAAACTGTAATGACAGGTTGGGGCTCATAAGGTGGGTCAACAGAATATTACGTGAATCAACCAAAATACTTCAGCTCCTCCCCATAGTCGATAGATAATGAACAATACCAAAGATTAAGTTCTGTGCCCGCAACAATTGCGAATCCTCCTTGAGAACAGGCTGCAACACCCAGGAAAATTGAGGCTCACCTCCGAGGATTATCATTTTACTTGATTTTCGTCCGCAGGTCAAATAAAATTCATTTCATTAAGATGAAGCTCACATTCTCTACGTGAAAGGAAAACTCTCAAAAGTTTCCATTGCCCCTAACGTGTGGATTCCTAGTTGGTTTGTAGCAGTGCCCAACTGGTATCTGAGAGGCACAGGTTTGAATCCTGTCGAAGTCTAATTTATCAAGCTTCTTTCCTACAATTGCTAGAATTACAGCTCACATGCAAGGATTACTGCTTTGCTTGATTTTAGTGAAAGGTCATAACGTTTGAAGAGCATGTTT